GTGTTGCTTGTACGAGCTGGCGTGCTGAAGACGCGCGTGATTTCATGGTGTAGCTGTTGTGACACTCCGCAGCAGGTCTTGCAAACCAGTGAGCTGTGCCTGTGAACCTGCAGTCACGGTGCAGAGAAGCCTGCATAGAGGGAATGGCTTCGCTTACACCCCGTGAGACCTCCAACAGGCTTGTGTGGTTGCGAACGTAGCATACAGCTTGTTGGGCATGGTACTGGCCAGCCGGCTAGTCATGTGAAGCTTTCGACAGTCGAATGCATGTCGGACCTCCATGGTCTTTACGGTGCTCCCTTTTCACCGGCTTGATGGATTTCTGCAATGAACTGTGGTTCTGCGCACTCTGCAGCTCGGGCTGGCTGCAGGCCATGCAGCTGGTCTGTAAGCCAGGAGCTTCGCAGCTGAACCTGCAGTCAGACAGCATCAGCTTGGCTTACAACAAGTTGAGGCCTCCAACAGGCTCAGGCAAGTAACATGCAACCTGCGGCCTCGGGCCATGTTGTAGGACATGAGCTTCAACAATAGGCTCTCGTGCTAGCAATGGAGTATGCCCGGGACATGACTAATGCGAATATCGAATTTTACGTGCTGTCCGGCAAGTTTCAAACAAAAGCTTTGCTCATCTTCCACCCTTGCAACACCGGCAACAAATGAATGTCGGATGGTTGTTGCACCTAGGTGCTTTGCTACAACCTGACAGTGGGGAAGGAGCGACGTGGACCGTGCAAAGCTCGGCGCAGAGGGGATGTGCGTTCCCCAAGGTTGCTGTCATCGTGAAGGCACTGAAGATCACGGCTTGTCTGCTCACATCGTTCCTGCCCGTCTTATTGGCAGCTTCCTCCTCGGTGTCTGCATCAGCGTCGTAGGCGCAGTCGTAGCCGAAGTAGTCTGTAGTCGTCGAAGTAGCGGTATCAGTGGTAGTCGTTGTCGTAGCAGCAGCAGGAGGAGTAGTAGTTGTGAAAAACTTGTCGACGTCGCCGTCGTCCTGCTGGTGGTGATTCGGGTGATGCTGGTGTTGGTGCTGGTTTCGGCCGTCATTGCCGCGTCTGCTGCGGCACATCAGGTCTTTAAGCGCGGGTATGCACATGAGTATGGCTATGGGTTGCTAGGGGCAGGAGCACGCACGTAGGGCCTTGGGGTTTCCTGTGGTGCCGTTCTCACGTGTTCGACTTCAGATCTAGGTTGCTTATCCTGCAAGAACCATCCAATTGCATCAGCATTCCAGTCCAGCATCTGTATTCTTGGCATAGGCTATCCAAATTTCAAATGACGTGTCTCCATGCTCTCATAACTTGGGACCTTGCGTCCTGAGCATTGCGTCAACAGGCTACCTACCTTTTTGGGGATACCTTATAGAATCCTTAGTTTATACTATATAATTGGTTAAACCCAAAAAAGAACTACAATGGAGACTACAGGTAGTAATTCGACAGCTTAATGTAGGAACCTGATTAAGAAACCCTGGCCCTATACCACCAAAATAATAGGATTCATATAAAGAACCCTAATAAGGACCCAGGGTTTCTTAATCAGGTTCCTACATTACCTTGGAGATAACGACAGCTTCTCCAAGCTCGGACTCCCAGGTTCACGTACGACTACAAAGAGAAAGCTGTGAATGGATGCGAGGATTTCGGCATAGACTGGTTGAAGGAGGCCCGCGGAGAAAGGGCTGTTAAGACTTGTGTCGCCGTTGCCAGAACAGTTTGGCGTGACGTTCGATACCTAAGTAGCAGTCAACTAGCACAGTACATGACAGCACCTCCACCCCAAGTACATAGTTTGAGGCAGCACTGTCAGTACCAATGGCAACGGGTTGCATTTCGACAGCAGGTGCCGGGTACTTGGCTTGCAGACTTCTTGGCCTCCAACTCCATATGTTTTGCTGTGAGCCCAAGACCTGCCGTGCAGATCGACGACTGGGAAGCGTTGGATGTCGGAGTCGAGATTCTGGATGTGATAGACAAGTCGGAGCGTGTCCCGCCTCAGATTATTTCGCGTCTTCGCATTTGTAGACTTGGTGAAGGCCAAATTGAGCTTTGTCTTGTGTAGCTCTTCACCAGCGGGTTTTGCTGTATCGCGCCGGCTCTAGATTCTTGGTCTTGTGCTTGAGCTGCATATGTGCCACACCTGAACTTTGAACGCTCAATCCCCAAATCTCAAGTCGTCAACCATCTGAGCCGAACGCAAGACACTGAAGATCTGAGGCCAAGCATACCCGCTGCGCGCTGGGCAGCGAAGGTGCCGCACTGATCTTGTCACCGATCTGTTGTCAGGCAACTCATGATGTCTTTTTTACATGCAGTGTGACATATAGTGCTGGTGGTACTGGTGGTGCTGGTGGCTGGTGCTGGTGCTGGTGCTGGTGCTGGTGCTGGTGCTGGTGCTATAATCTTAGCTTAGTCACAAAGTTGTCCAGAGTTTAGCCGCCACATCATTTCCGTCAGTTCTTAGTCAGAAAGCTGATTGTGAATGTTGCTTTCTAGGACCCCAAAACTGGTTACGTCACACCCTGTAAGCTTCAGTGCCCCGATCCCTGCACCCCTGTGGCCCAGTTGGCAAGACGGCCACTTCGGAGCCGAGTTCAGCTCTCAGAAAACATAAAATGAGGCGACGCCGTTGTTTCACAAATCGCGGGACGGGTAATCAGCTAGGTATAGCCGTCGCGTGTAATGATGCTAGAGGAATACAATCAATATTCAGTTTCAAGAAGACTAGTCACCATTCGCCTGGAAACTCACCCTGGGCATTTCTAAACTCGGAGTTCGTGAAAAGGTGGAAGGCAAGAGGTGTAATTACCTATCAGAGACAGTCTTTGAGCCCTTCAGACCACAGAATGTCTACAGGAACCGAAGGCTCGAACCGTTCGTCAAACAGGCTCAAGACTTTATGTTGCCGCAGGGTAAAACGAAATGGCTGTAACTAGGTTGCTGTGGACATTCACTCGCTATTCAGTATTACCATTGCGACAACCTGTAAACTAAACTTGAAGTGAGTCTCTACGACCCAGGGTTAGATTCTGATGGAGTAATTTTGAGAGGATGCTTTGCCAGTATCTTTGCAGGGAGGAGCTGGCACAGTCTGCTTTCACAATGACATCGACATCGCGTGGAGTTTGGAAAGCACGGGTGTAGGCTACAGACTGTGCCTGTTCAGTTGGTCTTGACAGCGATCAGGGAGATTGAATGCCTCAGGTTCAGGGTTCGAGCATTCAAGCTGATACCCAAAGTTCCTTCTCTGTAAGGTCGTACGAAAACTATGCAGCTATGAAGCTCGGGGCCATTCAACGCGACCTCTTTGCGGTCTGAAGCCTCAGGTTGTCATTCGCTAGCTGCTGCTCATGCCCTTGCATCAGTTGATGCTGACTTTTAAGAAGTCACGAGTGGTGTTATCGCCCCTACGTGTGCGTTTGCCTGCTCTTGTTAGGTTTGGCTTTGGTGCGGTATGTATTGTCTTTCAAGTTCTCAAGACTGATGCGTTGGTGTTGCACATATGTTTGCATTCATGTTCATGATCGCAGCGTCAATTGTTTCGTTGTGGTTTTTGTGTTGGTGGTGGTAATGGTGGTGATGATCTGTGTGTGTGTGTGCGTGAGAGTGTGTAGGCCGTGTTGTTGTTGCTGTTGTTGGTGGTTGTGGTGGCGGTGGTGGTGGTGCTGGTGGTGCTGGTTGCGGTGGTGGTGGCGGTGGTGGTGGTGGTGGCTGCTGTCGCTATCGTCCTTGCTGCTGCTGCTGCTGCTGCTGCTGCTGCTGCTGCTGCTGCTTCTGCTCAAATCGGCAGTCGCTGCATTCGCAGTCGTCGTTGTGGTCGTCCTTGTCGTTCTGCCGTTCACTTTCTGAGAGCTCAGTCATAGTCGGTGTCGAGACATGTGGTGGAGTAAGCCTGTTGCAGGCTCGGAACGTGCTGTTGGCGGGGCTCGGCTCTTTGACAGTAACTCACAGGCATCATCCTTTTTGACTTAAGTTTCTCTCCACAGGCAGAAGACAGATGGAGATTTCAGACTGAATCTTCATATCGGCCAACACCCGCATAATAACTTGTCAGCGGTACCTCCAGCTCGGCACACTTATGCCACAGCTGTTTAGTCATGGCAGCAAATGCTCTGCAAAAGGAACGCCATAAGAGGCGCCCATCAACCAGCGCAGCGCACGACCCTGGACCTGAGTGAATCATTGGCGACTCTGCCCCAACCATGCGTCCTGTGCGGGGGTGCCATGGCCAGCGTGGAGAGCCAGCTATGCCAGGAGTGGGAGAAGAAAGTGTAAAAGAGTTCATGCGTACAGATGTTCGGAGGAGCTTACTACTGTACACTCCTGGTTTGATCTGTTCCTGAATGCCTAAGTGTTGACCTTTTGTGTCCTTAGCTGGGACATGTACTTTGATGTGGAAAGATCCTGCGGCATGGGTAGCTACAGGCTATCCCTCGAAGGGCCTCATGTCGAAGTGTCGAGTACCCCCCGTAAAAAAAGAGCAGAGTACCTCGGTGGGTCAAACGAGGAACTACAACAGATGTTTTGGTCCAAAGCTCTTTGCGAGGAAGTCCTCGACTTGCTCGGAGTGTTCGAGGAGGCCTCGCTTCCCAATCTGCTGGACAAAAAGCAAACACAGGCGAAAGAATCAGGCAAGAATCGCTAGAACTCAAGTGTTGCTACCATGTACCAGTACCTGTACCAGTACACGTAGCGGTTGGATTTTGTCGTCGTGCTCGCCGTCGTCGTAGTGGCAGTGGCAGTGGGAGTCAGCGGGAGTGGGAGTGGCCGTGGTAGTGGTAGTGCTGGTAGTGGTAGTTGTAGTGGTAGTGGTCGTCATCGTCGTAGTAGTAGTAGTAGTAGCAGCAGCAGCAGCAGTAGTAGTAGTAGTAGTAGTAGCAGTAGTAATTAGTAGTAGTAGTAGTAGTAGTAGCAGCAGTAGTAGCACTAATAGTAGCGACAGCTTTACCACTACCAGTAGCAGTAGTAGTTGTAGTAGGAGTAGTAGTAGTAGTAGTAGTAGTAGTAGCAGTAGTAGTAGTAGTAGTAGTAGTAGTAGTAGCAGTAGTACTGGTATTAGTACCAGTATAGTACTAGTACTAGTAGCAAAGCGCGCCCCCAGGCGCCTTCTGTTTTCGTGCTTGTTCCGTGGTTATGGTGTTATTTTAATGCCTCTTCACTGGTTATGGCGGTTATGGAGGGTGGGGGGGTTTGGGGGAGGGGGAGATTCGGGGAGGGGTGATGTTGACATTCAGAACGACGTTCATGTAGATTTGATGTCGTGCAACTTCTGGTGCTGTTTGTGTCAGTCAAGGTCAGAGGCCCCAAAGCCCCCAAGGCGCTATAACGAAGAAACTCATATCGTTAACTGCATATCCCATATTCAGTCGTGTCCGCGTGCTCCGCTTTGCCATTGGGATGGGGACACTCCCGGCTTGATCCTGAAAGCCGTGCTGACAGCACTGGAGCAGTAAGAACCACAGCGGAAGCGACGAAACATCTGGCAAGCTTCCTGGGCTTTAGGGATATTGTGTTACTTCGCGATTCTACGGGATGTCTTTTCGTCAGATTATATGAGGCCTTCAACTTTCAAAGGCGCATAATCTTATGTACATGCCCGTGGCATTCTACTAGTAGTCCTAGTCCTAGCAGCAGCACAGTAAACACCACCACTAAACACAACAAATCCAAGTTTGAGCCCCGCGAGTAGTCTACACAAATCCTGCCGTTTTTCTTGTCTTGCAAGGTTACGCTACACACCCAAAGTGGCACAACATACGTGTCATACCATGCCCAGTCGCCTCGGGGCGCGCTAGCCTACTAGTACTAGTACAAGTACTAGCAGTACTCTATAGTACTAGTACTCGTACTGGTGGTGGTGGTGGTGGTGGTAGTGGTAGCAGTAGCAGTAGCAGTAGCGGTAGCAGTAGTAGTAGTAGTAGTAGTAGTAGTAGTAGTAGTTATAATTTTAGTAGTAGTGCTACAGTTGCAATGACTTCCACTACTACTACT